GGTGGTTACGACCATGTTACACAAACCAACCTAGAACCCTGCTATTTACGGCGTTGTTGCCTGCTTAGACAACATGTATAGGAGGATGTTTGATGTTCAGCAACACGAGGCGCGGTCACAAGTGTTCATGACATGTGCGAACATGCCCAAAACCCTGCTATTTGCAGCATGGTTGCCTCTTTATACAACATGTGGTAGGAGGATGTTGCATGTTCAGCAACACGAGGCGTTCATGCCATTTTACAAGCATGCCCAAAACCCAGCTATACAGAGCGTTGTTGCCTCTTTATGCAACATGCGTCCCATTGAACACATCTACAGCTGGGTTTGGCGCTCGCAATTGGATCCAAGGCGGATGTCGCGGATCACTTGGGGAACGTGTGCTAACATGAGTGCCCTAAGTTTCAGTCCGTGGATTTCCTGGAGCACGAAACCCTCCATTTCCACAGCCACACGCACGAAGTCATGCAATTTGCAGCACTTGTGGTGTATGCCCTAAAACATACAGTCCCGCCGCCACGCGGCCAGGTATCAATGTGGTTTTACACAAAAGGCTAAAACCCTAAACCCTAAACCCTAAACCCTAAACCCTAAACCCCGACCATCTGCCGCAGTTGATATCGGAGCTGCGCTGTGAGCGGGGGGCGGGGACCCGAGCCTTTGAACGGGTTTCGGGATTTAGGGTTCAGGTTTAGGGTTTAGGGTTTAGGGTTTAGGGTTTAGGGTTTAGGGGTTGAGGTTTGATTTGGGTTTTTTGGATTTGGGGTTTTGGTTTTCAAGCTTTATAGGGTTTAGGGTTATGGGTTTCGGATTTAGGGTTTAGGGAAAGTGTAGATTAAATAAGGTAAAGATATTTTCTTACCAAGACAGTGGCATTCTACCTAGGAGGAGCCCACTTTCCTGTTGGAGGATGGCTGTCAAACCCTAAACCATACACCCCTAAGCTCTTAAATCCTCTGTCAACCGTATTCCCCGGATATCCATAATATAGTCAAAGGCCCCCCATCTAAGCCCCAACAGTCGTCACCGCTGCAAAAGGACCCGATTAGAATGAACACATTTAGACTTAGATATGCACAGACTTCGGCTGACCATGCGGGCTGCTGTGCACAAAGTTGATGTCAGACATGAAGCCGACGGTCAACCTAAGGACATTCTTATGCCGATTGCTACTGGTTGGTGCCAGTGTCGCAGTTTGGGCAAAGTGGAGAGAATCAAGAAGATTCTCTTCGGGGTGGTGAAGCAGTGGACTTTGGAGGACATCGCTTCAATCAAGGACCTCCAGAAGGATGCGAAGTTCATCAAGAGCATGATGTTGACCCACAGGGTTTAGGGTCGAAAAAAGTGTGATTTATGCGGCAATTTTACACATCGCTCACCATGTGTTGGTTCGGCTGCCTCCACACATACAGTTTGGGAATGAGCTTCCACCACTGCCCACGAAACCCCAGCTTGCTTCAGTGGGAGAACATACTGTATAGCATTTCGGCTAGGGGTCTAGGGCGTGGGTGTAGAGTTGAGGGTGTAGGGTTTGCAGTCTAGGGTTCAATTTAGGGTTTGGGTAAACGGCCGTGGGCCAGGATGTTGCGCAGTAGCCAGTATAGTCTGCATGATGGAAGACGTTGAGAACCCTGCCGGAACCGTGAACTCTAAAGCCCCAAATCCCTAAACCCTAAACCCTAAACCCTAAACCCTAAACCCTAAACCATAAACCCTGTCCCAGGGACAAACATCTACGTCCCCAGATTCGAAAATCATTTTCGACGCATCTTGGGGTTCCCTAAAGGCTCTGCAAGGCAGGGTTTAGGGTTTAGGGTTTAGGGTTTAGGGTTTAGGATTTCGGGCCTTACTCCCTCTTTTGGGTTCTACACAAGCCCTAAACCCTAAACCCTAAAGGCTGTAGGGGTTTCGGGCCCTATTCACTCTTGGAATGAAGCTGCATCCTCTAAACCCTAAACCCAAGGCCCTAAAACGAGGTGTGGCTGTCGGGGAAGTGCACGGCCTACTGCGGCCTGCCCACGGAGGTTTCAAGCTGTTTAGGGTTTAGGGTTTAGGGCTCAAGGTTACTGGGTTTAGGGCTTCGGGGGTATAGGGTTTATAGTAAACCGTTAGGGGTACTTAGAAATACTTTTTTTTAATCTTTGGCTACTATAAACCCTAAGAAGCAGCTAAAAGTATATTTTTTGCTAGGGGTCTAAGTTCAGTATAGAAGCCCAAAAAGTTGGAAACCGGATTAAGGACAAATAGTGCTGGGATTCCCTATACATTACTCTTAAGGATTGAGGCTATTGGGTTTCCAACTTTTGGGGCCTCTACTGTAGGGGTGGAAGGTTGGGGATTTCACCCGGAGCATGGGGTTTAGAGTTCATGGTTCGAGTTAAGGGTTTGGAGTTCGGTTTACGCTACACCCTAAACCCTGAACTGTTGTGGCTAAGGCCCTCAGCACAACAAACTAAGCCTTAAACCCTAAACCTTAAACCGTTAGATTCAGGTGCGGACAGTGCTGGCTTCGGGTTGAGGCACTTTATCAGGGGCGAAGATTCGGTGACGGACAAGTTTGCCAGGGCTGCTAGGGTTTGGGGTTTAGGGTTTAGGGTTCAGGGTTTAGAGCTTAGGGTCCAGTTCACACGACGGATGGACCAGGCGATTGTAGGTGCTACTCCTCTCTCTTACTGAGAGCGCAGTTCTGCGAATCCGTACCCATAAAACCCCAACATTACTGCAAAGGAAGCATTAAGGCCTGCGAAAAGTGGGCACCTCAAACAGAGCTCTGTTTAATTTGCAACGGTCTCAACAAATTCAGAATTTCTTGAGGGTTAGAGGTTTCAGAGGTTTCGGGCTGTATGGTTTTGGGGCTTACGGTTTACGGTTCTGGTTTAGGGTTTATAGCAGCCACCCTACAGTGCCACGGGTTCCCAAACTTTGAACCCAGTTCATGCCGTGCGACCAGGCCATTGGGGGCGCCATATCGTTGGAGCATTGTGCCTGGTTCTCAGAGCAGAAGGAGCTTAAGCCGGCTTCATCAGTGCCTGCATGAGGTCAGAGTTCACAAGCATGGGGACGCATTCGGACGTTAAGCTTGCGGCTTGCAGTAGATAGCTGGCAACTGTAAGACTTTTAAGCCCAAGCCGGCAGCCCGTCGCAGAACATGTGAGTGGCTCTTCAGGCATGGGTTCAAGCTTCGGGAGCTTACAGCTTCGGCAAGAGGGTCACTGCCTGCAGACCGAAGCTCCAGGCAACTTGAGTTCTCTGTTACATCTCACGTTGGTTCTCTAGTTTGTCCTATTACAGGTGCGTTCCTCATGACATTGGCACGTTATCTGTGGAGGGTCATGGCTGCTGCTACTGTAGTTGTCCATTGGTTGAGATTTGCAT